TTGAGATAAAAAATCTCGTTTAGAAGCGCCCTTAGGACCATCTTGATTTGAGAAACGCGTTCGGACACGATGTTTTTGGAAAAATTAAGGAAAACTACGTCTGAATGTTTGTTTCTATCGAAAATTTTTCCAGGGAGTAAGAAATTGAAACTCATACTAGTATACTAGGGCAAAAAAGAAAGTTCGGAATAACAACGAAAAAAATACAAAATTCATGCCGTTACACCCGTATGTCCCCTGATGTCCAAGGGACATCATGTATCCACGCGGCAAAGCAACATCACTTAAGTCCAGATATAACAAGGATGTACCAAAGAACTGTAAGCTTGAATGCAGTAGTTATTTCAGCTGCAGTTATAATAAAAGTGTCTTCGGGTGTAAAGGGTTAATCACATTTTGAATGAGTTAAATTCAATAAAAAATTTAGATTTAAAAACAAAAGAATATTCAGATGAAGAAATTAATTGCACGTATTAGCGGTGGAACAGCACTATATGGAATTTCATTTATTGATCCTGTACGACTTGGTGAAAAAGCTACAAGACCATTATTAAGACAGCCAGTTTATTGTCCATTAAATTTATCTGAATTACCCTTTAAATCAACTTATCATAAATTTACAAGTATTGATGCCAATAATCAATTTCAAAAAATTATTCAAACATCCGGTTATACTGTAGCCGCTAATCTATCGACAAGCCATTGGGGATTTCATCTTGGTTCAGAATTAAATAACATAACAAAATATAGTATTGAACAATACAAACAAAATTCAACACTATCAGCAGGAATTTTTCTAACAGACTATTCGTTTATACCAACAAAATCATTTCGTATACCTATGGAAGAAATGCGTTTATCCAATGAAGCAGAAAATTTTGCACATTCGATAAATAATTTAACATCGGCAAATAATTTTTAGATAATTTTAATTCCCATGTCTCTATTGGCGTACATCATCTTGGTGGTATTTATTTACGTACAATATCGGTAACAACGGAGAGTTTATCTTCGATTGATGAACTGGAAAAAACTGGTGTGAAACATTTTAATGCGTCTGTTGGTGCAGGTTTTCAACAATACAATATAGGCGGAGGTATTTCTATTGAATCATTTCAAGATACTGGTGAACATACACAAAACAAACAAATACAAAAACAAGCCCAGGTTAAATCTCATATTAAGTGTTATGGTCCACCATGTACAAATCCCAATCTGTTTTGTCAAATAATAAATACTCATAGTTCAACTTGGCATATAATTGATCGATCCGATTTAAAATCATTAGTACCGGTATGGGAATTAATGAAAGATCATAATGATATTTATATACGTGAAGCAGCCAAGTTTATTAAACATGCATGGTTAGAACAAGCATCTAAGTATTCTCATATATCTGTAATTAATTGTAAAATTGAACGTATTATGTAGATATATGGAGTCCATCAATTATTCAAATTAATTTTCGATCTCAACGATTAATGTCGAAAAAAGATAAACATTTTTTTCACGATGCTCTAATTGAATTAGAAAGGATTTTAAACGAACAAATTTGTTTATCATCTATTAATGATAATTATAGTGGTGAAGAAATAGCAAAAATAATTAGAACAATATGTCATATCATATGGAATATGAATTTAACAGTTGGTTATAATTTATTACCAGCTATACTTATTCGTGATACAATAAAAAGTTTTCTCTATACAATTGCTGTATTTTGTTCGAATAATAATGAAAAACTGCGTTTAATCTCACCAGCATTACAACATTTATTAAGCAGACAAATTCTTTCACAGCTGGAACAAGACAATATTTCTTTAGATGAAACAATAGTAACTTTACTACAAAAAATTCAACAATTTAAAGAAAAAAATGAATATCATAAATTATATGATAATGATCTATTAACTCGTACGTCTGTTACTATGTTGAATGAGTTACCAGCTAAACTACGAGATATGCATGAAACAAATACGGAAGTTGAAACAATTCTTGTACAGGAAATGGTGCAAGTTATAAAAATGAGTTTAAATAAAGGTAAATCTGTTGAACAACAACAGCTTGGTATATCAAAGCAATTAGAAAATATGTTAACTGATCAACATAGTTGGACAAATGATGGATTTATCATTGAGCCTGTAACTCATGAAGGAATAAAAGCTGTGATTAAGGATACTGAAGATAAATTAAATGAAATACAAAACACAAAAGCTGATGTCATGCAACAACAAGTACAAGTACAAAAAACAAATTCAAATGTTGAATCTGTTATACATATGACTACTACAACTACTACTGAAAATGGTAATGCAGAAAAAATATTCTCATCTCGATTGGATGATTGATCGTCCAGTAGTTAACATACAAGTTGATCCGGTCGCCGGATTTATTGACAGATTTCGTCATAGGATGAGGCTTGATGACATTTCTCCCAAGTCTTCTGCAGCTATGTTAGTTGTTGACGAAGACAAACAAATATTAGACGAATGGTGTGATACAAATCAAAGAGAAGAAGAGCAGCAGCTTACAAATGTTTGTCTAGATCAAATTTTTTATGATGTTGACAGTAATTCTACAGAATTACATAGTTTAACAGATGTATTAGTTTATTTAACAAACAACTCTAAATTCACTTCAAAAATTCAGTGTTTTCGTTTATTATTTGATCGACGATATGCAGTACCAATAATTACACCAAATGTTAATCGAAAACATAAGCAACCATTCCAGTATCATGTTGATGTTTTAAAATTCATTCAATTGGCTTCTCTTGATAATAAAATACCGTATTTAGTCAACAGTCAACAATTGCATCGTATTGCTATTGTATCAAAACGATCAATCGAACAGAGTGAAACATCTCATTTAATCGCAAACGCATTTGGTAGTCATTGAACACATGAGTTACAACGATTAGAAAATGTTCAATTAACAATGGCCGAAATTTCTCAAGGATACATAGATGAAGAAAATGATAAAAAATGGCCATTTCTTCTTTTACATGTAGTAGGTAATTATAAAAAATTATCATCATTTATATCTAAATTTGCAAATCTAGTAATTATTGAACAAGATTCATCTGTAAAACAAAATTCAGAAATCTTCGCGAGAAATGGTTCAAACTTACCTGTTATCATTTGGAATGTTTCCGAAAATAACACAAGGCCAAGAACAGAACCAGGACATTACGTTTTAACTGGTACGATCAATGGTATACTTAAAAATTTACAAATGGCATGCATCAAAAGACTAGAAAAATTTACTAGTAGTAATAATAGTTTAGATCAAATAAATGATAAAGAATTATTTTATCGTCCTATACCATGTCAGATTAACATACTAGATGCTATTAAAAGTCAAGATTATTCAACTCTAAGACGGGTAAAATTATTATTACAGAAGAGTTTTAATATTGGATCAGAATATCACAAAAAATTAAATCGTTTAAAAAACGAGCCTTCAGAACAACGTGCATTACACCATAAAATTCATGAACAAGAACAATATCGTCTATCTAAAGTATCCAATATAGAAAAATTAAATATCATAGAAATTTTTACAAACGTTTTAAAACATCCAAATTTCGATCAACGAATAATATCATTAAATGAATTGATTGGTGGTATTGATTATTATTTATTAGCAGCAATACAAAATGTACGAAAAAAAAACGCGATGAAGCTTTTGATGCCTGTCAACAAGCAGTTAGACAAAAAATGGATGGTGATTTATACAAAACAAAATTCGTTGAAGCTAAAGCTATTTATGCAGCTACTCTTGTTTCTATCGAACATTTATGGAAGGAATGCAGTCAATTATATACTTGTGATCCAGTACGTTATTTTTATTATCCAGATGTGGCTGCACAATATTTGATTGATGGATTTTCGTTAGAATTGTTAGATGGGGACACTGGTATGATTTGTGACAAATGGATTAATGCAGTGTTAAAGAAATTAAACAGTAAATTGCAAGAAATAAGAAAAAAGAAAGACATAAAAATTTTCGTTTTAAGCATATTAGGCGTACAAAGTTCCGGTAAATCGACACTGTTGAATATTATGTTCAGTGTCCGTTTACGTTCAAGCGCTGCTCAATGTACTCGTGGTGTTAACATACAACTGATTAGAGTAGAAAATCGTGATGAATACGATTATATATTGTTAATGGATACTGAAGGTAAAGTTGAACGAGCATAAAGAACAAATTATCTTTTGTTAACATAGCTAGCTAATTTCAATGTAAAGTCTTGGAAAGTATTATCCATTTCAAAATATAGGGCAGGAAATCTCTTTTCAAAATAACTTTTGATACACAGGTTGAAAAAACTGAGTCTGAGCCACGAATCGTTCGAAGGTTTTGCAGAGATCTCCTCACAAACCTCAAGGATTATCTGTTGTCTTAGGCAATATCTTCATGACTTGTTTTGAATATTTTCTGAATATTTCAGTTTGTTCGGATGAGAAATGACTGAGTTAGGAATATTTTAATTTGACATGGACATAGGAGAAAAAGTAGATTTTGAAAAAATTGGCTCAGTTGAACTCTCTGTGATCTGAGGAAGAAAATAAATATTGCCTCGAGATTCAGGATGATAGAAAACCTATGTCCCATTACTATTGGTGTCAGTGCATGTTCTCCATATTTTCAAACTATAGGTTGGTACGGGAACGTAGGAAAGAGCAACTTGCGTAAGGAAGATCCATCAGGTACACCACCTATAGGTACGATTTTGGATGCAAAACAATTACAATCAATTCCGAAATTGATTGATTTCCATGAGAATTTCAGTTTTTCGAAGAGATTTTTGACAAAGTAAAACCGTTTGCGAACAAACCAAGATTCCTGTTATAGAGGGTCAGAATTTTCCAAACTCTCATGGAAGAAGTGAGTGCTAGAGCTTCAGCAGAAACACGGATGTACGGTACAGATCATGATTTAGCTATAACAGAATTACCTGAATGTATTTATCGTCGTGTCATCTGATCTTCGCAGTTGACAGAACTCACGCATTGCTGCTTATTAATGTATAAAAGTTGTATTCTTTAAGAAGGTCGTAAAGCCTATCTAGAACGGATAGCGAGATAATCAATCTTCATTTTGCTTCTCCTAAAATAACACAAATTCGAGAAAATTGTGGAATTAACGGCCGCTCCAAACGTAACGATGGACGTTTCTGATGTATTAAATTTCAGTTTTTGCAAAAAGTATAAGAGCTAGGGAATTGATTCTTGCGGCATTCTGAGCAGTTCACTGTCCTCGACCTACGGTAAAAGAAATGAAAAATTTTCGTTAAGAAGCACGGTTTTGAGAGAATATACGGTGCGTGACGGATGTGACAGAAAAGACCCTCAAGTGCGACTACATCCAATTAAACGCTAATTTTCTACGAAATTACTTCATTAGAAAATTATGTGCAAGCTCCGCGCCGGAACAAATTTTATGAAACTAAGGTGGTATATGCAGAATTTCAAGGCGAACCCGACAGCGGGCATCTTATAGTGAATTTAGGCTGTTTTTCTGTTCTGTCGCTTTTTTTCTTCTCTCTTTTCTCCTTTCCATGCGCACATTTTATCTGTTTTTTTCTTTTATATAGGCAATACATTCGACCATCGAATAAC